TCAAAATAAGTTACATGGATCAGTCTCTAAATTCTCATGAGGATTGGATCTTTGAATGTTGTGGTTGTTGCAGTAAATGTTACTTGTTGCATTGATGTTAGTAGCTGGTTGGAGAACCAGTGAAAAACCCATAATGCTTCTCATAGGGAAAGCCCAGCAATATCAGACAATCCGGCATTGGTAAGGCCATCATTGGACTATTGCCTGGAATTCCAGGTCGAGCAGTTAGGCGCACTGCACAGCAACAAACCCAACTCCGGCAGGGTTAATCCTAACAGCAGGAGGCTCATGGCCTAAAGGAGTCCTTATCTGACCACATGAGGGCTTCAGTTGACTGTGGGATGTGGGTCTGAGAACTCAGTTGCATGCAGTGAGCACCAACCATTGTGGTAATGTCGGGGACTAGATCAGAGTAAAGGAGGAGCTGGTGGAAGACAGGCCTGAGGTTAGTGTGCTCCTACCAGTCTCTGCATACTCACATTGTCTGCAAACAGTTGCAGTAGTGCAATAAATGTCATGTTGCTTATAGCCATGGACATCTAAGAAGGTAAGGGACAGCATAAAATTAAAAGACTGGGTGTATAAAAATGCACAGAGCTCTCATCTCACAGAGTGGGACAAATAGAAAGACCAACAAGGGACTACAAAGCAGCTAATAAGAGTGGCTAAAAAGTTTAGGAAAGGAAACTTGAAATGGACATAGGCAATAAGAAGAGATTTTATTGTTGTGTAAGGGAAAGCAGCTGGTTAAGGGTCCTATCAGTCCACCGAACGCTGAGATTGGGGATATTGTCAATGACTGTGGGCACATGGCAGGCATGCTGAATGATTATTTTGATTCTGTGTTCACAACTGAAAAGGAGAACAGCTTGCTGGAAGACTCGAAGAAATTAACAGAAGATCAGGGCCAGGGTCTGAATAAACTGAGTAATGGAGAAATTAATGGGGAACTGAAGAGTGACAGATCCCCAGGACCCGGTGGGTGTTAAAGTCGATGGGAAAGCACATTGCTGATGCTCTAACCACAATCTTTCAAAGTTCCCTGTATTCAGGAGTTGTACCTCTGGATAGGAAGTTTGCTCATGTCATTCCACTCTTGTCACTCTTCCATAGGAAGGAAATTATTAAACTTGAGAGGGTGCAGAAAAGATTTACAAGGATGTCGCCAAGGCTGGAGGTGAGAAAGGAAAGATTTAAAAGGTACCTAAGGGGGAACGTTTTCATGCAGAGGGTGGTGCGTGTATGGAATGAGCTGCCAGAGGAAGTGGTGGAGCCTGGTACAATTACAGCATTTAAAAGGCATCTGGATGGGTATAGGAATAGGAAGGATTCAGAGGGATATGGGCCAAATGCTGGCAAATGGAACTAGGTCAGGTTGGGATGTCTGGTCGGTGCAGATGAGTTGGACCAAAGAGTTTGTTTCTGTGTTGTATGACTCCACGACTCTAAGAAGGTTTAAGCGAAACCAGGGGACCACAGACCAGTTAGCCTGGCATCAGTGGTGGGTAAATTGTTGGAGTCTATAATCAAGGATAGGCTAACTGTTAACTCAAAAAATTTCAGTTAATTAGAGTCAGGATTGATTCATAAGGGTAGGTTATGCCTGACAAACCTCGTAGAATTTTTTTTGAAGAGTTGTCAAAGGTAGTGGACAGAAATAAGTCAATGGTTGTTGTTTATTTGGAATTCCAGAAAGCTTTTGATAAAGTCCCACTCAAGAGACTGTTAGCTAAGGTAGAAGCTCCACAGAATCGAGGGCAAATTACTTACATGGATAGGAAATTGGTTGAGTGGTAGGAAACAGAGCTTTGGAATAATGGGTAAGTGCGCAAATTGGCAGGATGTGACCAGTGGTGTCCCTCAGTGAGTTGTGTTGGAGCCTCAATTATTCACAATATTCATTAATGACTTGGATAATGGCATACAAAGTCAAACGTCCAAATTTGCTGACGACACAACATTGGGCAGCATTGTAGACAGTGTTAACAACAGTATAAAAGTACAGCAAGATATTGATAAATTAGGTGAATGGGCAAAGCTGAGGCAGGTGGATTTTAATATAAGTGTGAGGTTAACCATTTTGGATTAAGAAAGGATAGATCAGGGTAAATTTTAGAAGGAATAAAGTTAAATACAGTGGATGTCCAATGAGATTTGGGGGTTCAAGTGCACAGCTCATTGAGAATAGTCAAGGTGGCTAATGGAATGCTGGCCTTCATATCCAAAGTATAAGGATGCAGACGTTGTGCTGCAGTTATACAACACCCTGGTTAGACCCCACTTAGAGCACTGTGAGAGGATCTGTGCATCGCATCTTAGGAAGTATGTTTTGGCCCTGGAGGGAGTTCACCGCAAGTTTACAAGGATGATACCTGGACTTCAGGGGTTAAATTATGAGGAGAGATTAGACAGATTAGGCCTTTTCTCCTCTAGAATTTAGAAGGTTAAAAGGGGTGATCTAATTGTGGTTGTCAGGAATATTACCAGATAGCGATAAACTATTTCCATTGGTTGAAGATTCTAGAAGCAGGAGGCACAGTCTAAGAATTAGGGCCAGTCCATTCAGGAGAGACGTTAGGAGGACTTCTATATGCAAAGAGTAGAAGAGGTTTGGAGCTCTATTCCCCAAAATGGCTGTTGATGCTAATTCAATTGTTAAATTTACATTTGAGATAGATACATTTTTAATGGAGCAAGGGTATCAGGTGATCTGGGTCCAAAGGAAGTAAATGGAGTTAGGCCACAAATCTGCCGTGATCTCTTTGAATGGTGGAGCAGGCTTGAGGGGCTGAATGGCCGACTCATATTCTAATAGTCCTGTGTACCCAACAAGACTCTTCTAATTTGACCACAAAAGTTGTTATGCTCATCCACACTAGACCATTAAAGGCTTGAAGAAAATCACACAAAACACAGCCCATAATTTGAACAGTGACCCCCTAGTTCAAGATTCTCCCACAAGAGGAAACATCGTTTCCATATCCACCCAGTCAAGACCCCTTATCACCTCTGAGTCTTCCAAACCCCGAGGATACAGGCCCAGCCTTCCTAGTCATTCCAAGATCAGATTGCTTCTCATCCCATCTAAAAGAAAACAAGCTCAGTTTATGCAAGTTGTCTACATAATTCAATCTGGCCATATGCTCATGTATGTTGTGTTTATTGCTTTCACATCTAAGCCAATACCTAACAGCTCAGTGTGGTTGACAGATGCAACTTGGCATGCAATGTTGAAAGCTAACATAAAATTCACCTCAAAACCATCTGGCTTGTCATGTTTCATGCCAGTCAACCATTTTGAATCGTCTGGCTGACCTACTCAGATAGTCACAGAAGCAGTACATACAAATGGAATTTGCCTGGAGATAGGTTCAACTGAGCCATTCAAAAGGGGCATTGGGATGGACATGGCACACAGGGATGAGGGGAAAAGGCAGCAGGTTGGCACCGGGTAACAGAACCAGTGCAGACACAGTGGGCTGAATGGCCTACTTTGGCGCCATCACAGTTCTGTGACGCTGTATTTTTCATTCATCCAGTACATTTTAGGCAAGGCCAGCATCTGTTGCCCATCCTAATGGCCCATGAATCGCGAGACCACCTCAGCCATTTCAGAGATCAATTAAGAACAATGTAGGCCAGACTGGGTAAGATTTCCTTCTCTGAAGCATATGAGTAAGCCAGATGAATTTGGTGATAGCCTCAGTAATGATGACCATAAAACTCACTTTATATTGTGGATTCTATAAATTGAATCGGAATTTCATTTATTGACATGGTGGGATTTGAACATTTGAGCATTAGCCTCAGGATTATTAGCCCTGTGAGAGTTCTGTAATGCCACAAACTCCTTTCACTAATATCCTTCACTGAATGGAAGTCTGACTCTACATATCCAGCCTGTAGACAACTCTCCTCCATTTCTCTTCATGGCCCAAATGTTGCCAGGGCTGGATAGGCTGGGACCTTTTTTCCCTGGACCATAGGAGGTTGAGGGGTGACCTTATAGAGGTTTTTAAAATCATGAGGGGTAAGGTAAGATGAATAGCCAAGGTCTTTTCCAGTTTTGAGGAAGGGTCACTGGACCTGAAACGTTAACTCTGATTTCTCTTCACAGATGCCACCAGACCTGCTGAGCTTTTCCAGAAACTTTTTTGTTTCTTTTCCATAGGGTGGGTGAGTTCAAAACTAGAGGGTATATTTTTAAGGTGAGAGGAGAAAGATTTAAAAGGGACCTGAGGGGCAACATTTTCACACAGAGGGTGCTGCTTAGATAGATTGAATTGCCAGAGGAAATGGTAGATGCGGGTAAGTTGCAACATTTCAGTTTGATTTGATTTGATTTATTGTTGTCACATGTACCTAAGTACAGTGAAAAGTTCTGTTCTGCGAGCAGTACAGGCAGATCATAGCAAACAAAGACATACACATCATGGGGTGCTTAGACACAGCGAGGCATACAAGGTTACACTGCACAGAAGGTACACAAAGCAGGATCAACATTAGCAAGATCAACATTAGAATGAAGTTAGAGAGGTCCATTCATCAGTCTGATAACAACAGGGAAGAAGCTGTTCTTGGACCTGTTGGTGCATGTATTCAAGCTCCTGTACCTTCTGCCTGATAGAAGAAGTTGGAAGAGAGCATTACCGGGATGGGAGGGGTCGGCAGCCTTCATCAAAGACATTTAAGAGACATTTGGATAGATACATGAATAGGAAAGGTTGAGAGTCAGTACTGGCCATACACAGGGAAGTGGGACTAGTTTAGTTTGGGAAACTTGGTCAGCATGGACAAGTTAGACCAAAGGGTCTTTTTTCCATGCTGTATGATTCTACGACTCCTAATGGCCACAGGGCAACTAGGGAATGGGTACAAATGTTGCCTCAAATTTGAAAGCCCCATGACTGAGTATCGAAACACACTGTTCGAATGCAGGGTGTGTCAAGGATTGAAATCCCATTGATGACCTGAACCAACATAACTCCCCATTTCCTTACCCAAAACGTAAATTTCATTGTTAAGCACAGCTGTACTGAAACGATATTTAGAGAATTCCATGGGCCCACACTCTGTCCATTTGTCTCTTCCTGGATCATACCGAAACATTCTGTTGCTGAGCCGATCAGGTTCGTCATCGGGAAAATCCGTCTGCACAACAAACAAGAATCAGAGCCACGAGGACGTCAATAAAATCAGGGAGTTATATTTCCAGCAAGGTAGCAGACTAATCAGATTGAGCTCTCATGGAGACTAAAATGCTTGCAAGGACAAGAAATAGAATGGACACTAATTAATGCCAATTAATAATGGTGTTTGTTTGACAGTCTATATCAAGTAGGAAATATAAACACAAGCACAGATTGTTAGAATGATGTGCACAGCTCAAGTACAGCCCCAAATTGGAGGAAAGCAGCCACAAAAACAATAAACACAGGAAGGATACTCCTGGTGACTAAGAGGTCCAGAACCAGGGGTCACAGCTTAAGGATATGGTGTAGGCAATTTAGGTTTGAGACGAGGAGAAATTTCATCACCCAGAGAGTGGGAATTCTCTGTAGCCTCAGAAAGTGGCTAAGGCCAAAACATTGAATGTTTTCTATAAAAAGTCAAGTACAGTTCTTAGGATTACAGGCTGAGATACACAATCTTATTTTTTAAATCAGTAAAGGAATCAAGGGTTATGGGGAAAAGGGGAGCTGAGGATTATCAGATTAGCCATGATTACTTTGAATGGTAGAGCAGACTCAATGAGCTGAATGGTCCTATATCTTCGGGTCTAAAGGGATCAAATGGTACCGGGAAAAAATGGGAACAAGGTATTGAGTTGGATGATCAGCCAGGATCATATTGAATGGTGGCACAGGCTCAATAGGCTGAATGGCCTACTCCTGCTCCTATTTTCTATGTTTCTAAGATGCATATTTTATTATTGATTAGCCATCACATTGTGCTGTCACAGTGTATTGTCCAATTTCCTCAGCTCGTTGGATTCACATTCGTCCAGTACCTGAAGGCCATGCAGCCCAGCCGTGTACAGCACAGAAACAGGCCATGCATCCCAGTTACGTACAGCACAGAAACAGGCCATTCATCCCAGCCAGCCTGTGCTGATCTTTGCACTTCATAAGAGCCTCCAGTTTCATTGAGCTGCATGTCCTCCAGGCCCTTTCCCCCCCGATGCACCATCCAGCCTCCTCTTACAAACATTGATCCAATTCTACTGTTCACAGTGGCACGTTCCATATTTTAGCCACTTCCTGAGTTGTTAAGGTTGCTATTTTTGATCATACTTACGCTCCCCATAACTGGAAAAAGCTTTACTGCATCAAACCGGTTCATAATGTTCAAAATCTTGATCGGGAGCTCAGTGTTCACTCTCTTTCTGAAGACAGGTTAGTCCCAGCTTCTCTATTCAGATGTTTCTCAACTGGCTACCCCTTGCGTGCAAACTTAAGGGATGTCAGTGGGATGTTCGACTGTGGAGCTCCTCACAGCTATTTTGGCCTTTCCCCAGTGCTGACAGCCATCCACCATGCAGAAGGAGATCACTACACAGAGTAAAGCCAGACCGTGGTTGATTTGTCATTTTCTCAGCACTGGAAGTTATCTGCATTAATGCTGCCTTGGCCAAAGTTAGAAACATAAAATCTTGGAGCAGAAATAGGCCATTCGGCCCTTCGAGCCTGCTCTGCCATTCAATATGATCAGGGCTGATTCTCTACCTCAATACCATATTCCTGTTTCCTTCATATACCCTTGATGCTTTTAGTATCTAAACATTTATCTATCTCTTTCTTGAATATATTCAGTGACTTGATCTCCTTAGCCTTCTGTGTGGAGAACTGCACAGGTTAATTATTCCTCTGAGTGAAGAAATCTTTCCTTACCTCAGTCCTAAACGGCCTACCCCATATCCTGACTCTATGATCTCTGGGTCCCAGACTCCTTAGCCAGGGAAAACATTCTCCCTGCATCTAGTCTGTCCCACCTTGTTAGAATTTTATGTGCTTAAATCAGATCCCCTCTCACCGTCTAAACTTTAATGAGTACAGGCCTAGTCTAACCAATCTCTCCTCAAAGGACAGTCCTGCCATCCCTGGTATCAGCCTAGTGAACCTCTGCTGCACTCCCTTTCTGGCAGGTATATCTTTTATTAGGTAGGGAGACCAAAACTGCATGTTAGGGTGGCACGGTGGTTAGCACTGCTGCCTCACAACACCAGGGATCCGGGTTCAATTCCAACCTTGGGCAACTGTCTGTGTGGAGTTTGAACGTTCTCCCTGTGTCTGCGTGGGCTTCCTCCGGGTGCTCTGGTTTCCTCCCACAGTCCAAAGATGTGCAGGCTAGGTGGATTGGCCATGCTAAGTTGCTGCATAGGGGTCTGTGGGTTATAAGGGGATTGGTCTGGGTGGGATGGTCCAAGGGTTGGTGTGGACTTGTTGGGCCGAAGGGCCTGTTTCCACACTGCAGGGATTCTAGGATTCTGTGATAATACCCCAGGTGCAGTCTTACCAAGGTCCTATATACCTGCAGGAAGACATCCTAACTTCTGAACTCTTACAATGAAGGCCAATTTACCATTTGACTTCCTAATTGTTTGTTGCACCTGCCTGTTTACTTTCACTGACTGGCTACAAGAATACCCAGATTCCTTTGTACATCCACACTTCCCAATATACCACCACTTAAATAATACTCTTCCTTTCTATTTGTCAGTACAGAGTGTATAAACTCACACTTATCGATTTTATAATGCAATCAGCATGTGTTTGCCTACTCACAACTTGTCTAAATCACCTTGAAGCCTCCTTGCATCCTCCTCACAACCCCACCCAATTTTGTGTCATCAGCAAACTTGGTAATATTGCATGTGGTTCCCTCACCTAGCTTATTTCTATATGGGAGTGAATATCTAGGGCCCCCGCACTGTGCAGCCACCTTGACAGAGACCCATTTATTTCCACTCTGTTTCTAATCTGTCGACCAATTTTCAATCCTTTCCAATATCCTACCCTCAATCCCATGTGCTTTAAATTTGCCCATTAGCCTCTAATGTGGGGCCTGTTTGGCTGGTTATATCTTCAAAAATCTCCAGATTAGTTAAGCATGATATAATTTACATAACCCATGCTGGTTTTGTCTAATCCCACTAATGTTTTCCAAGTGTTATCAAGTAGAGATTTGGCCATCTGCCCTGGGTGGTCTCTTAACAAGATGGTGGGCTGGAGCTTTCTCTTTCCATGAGATACCGTCAAAACAAAGTTTAGAGATTGGGTTTAATGAATACGTAAATGAGCTTCTGAGGTAGGCCATTGGTGACACTGTGACAGGTGATAGTGTTCTGATAAGAGACTGGACCCTGTACAGCTCGGACCGCATTGCTCTGTAGACTTTAGGGTGGCAAAGTGGTTAGCACTGCTGCCTTACAGCACCAGGGACCTGGGTTTGATTCCAGCCTTGGGCAATTGCCTGTGTGGAGTTTGCACATTCTACCTGTGTCTGTGGGTTTCCTCCCACAGTCCAAAGATGTGCAGGTTAGGGTGGATTGGCCATGCTAAATTGTCCAGGGATGTACAGGTTAGGTGAGTTAGTCATGGGAAATCTGGATGGGATGCTCTTCCAAGAATCATACAGCACAGAAATAAATGCTTTGGTCCAACTTGTCCATGCTGACCAGATATACTATATAAATCTAGTTGCATTTGGCCCATATCCCACTAAACCCTTCCTACTCATATACCCATCCAGATGCCTTTTAAATGTTGTAATTGTACCAATCTCCACCACTTCCTCTGGCAGCTCATTCCATACACGCACCACCCTCTGTGTGAACAAGTTGCCCCTGTGGTCCCTTTTATATCTTTCCCCTCTCACCTTAAACCTATGGCCTCTAGGTTTGGACTGTTTACCCTATCCATGCCTCTCATGATTTTATAAACTTCTATAAGGTCACCCCTCACCCTCCAATGCTCCAGGGAAAATAGCCCCAGCCTATTCAACCTCTCCCAATGGATCAACCCTCCAACCCTGGCAACATCCTCGTAAATCTTTTCTGAACCCTTTCAAGTTTCACAACATCCTTCCAAAGGAGGGAGACCAGAATTGAACACAATACTCCAAAAATGGCCTAACCAATGTCCTGTACAGCCTCAACGTGACCTCCCAACTCCTATACTGAATGCACTGACCAATAAAGGCAAGCGTACCAAACACCTTCTTCACTATCCTGTCCATCTGGGACTCCACTTTCAAGGAACTAGGAACCCCCACTCCAATGGTCTCTTTGTTCAGCAACACTACCCAGGACCTTACCATTATGTGTATAAGTCCTGCCCTGATTTGCCTTTCCTAAGTGCAGCACTTCACACTTATCTAAATTAAACTCCATCTGTCCCTCCTTGGCCCATTGGCCCAACTGATCAAGGTCCTGTTGTATTCTGAGGTAACCTTCTTCACTGTCCACTACACCTCCAATTTTGGTGTTATCTACAAACTTACTAACGATACCTCCTATGTTCACATCCAATTCATTTGTATAAATGACAAAAAGCAGTGGACGCAGCACCGATCCTTGTGGCACACTCCTGGTCACAGGCCTCCAGTCTGAAAAGCAACCTTCCACCACCACCCTCTGTCTTCTACCTTTGAGCCAGTACTGTATCCAAATAGCTAGTTATCCCTGTATTCCGTGTGATCTAACGTTGCTAACCAATTTACCATGTGGAACCTTGTCAAACACCTTAATGAAGCCCATTCAGATCGCATCCACCACTCTGCCCTGATCAATTCTCTTCGTTACTTCTTCAAAAAACTCAAACAAGTTACTGAAGTACTATTTCCCATGCACAAAGCCATGTTGACTATCCCTAATCAGTCCTTGCCTTTCAAAATACAGGTGAATCCTGTCCCTCAGGCTTCCCTTCAACAGCTTGCCCACCACCGATGTCCATCAATAGTTCCCTGGCTTTTCCTTACCACTTTTCTTAAATAATGGCACCACATTAGCCAACCTTCAGTCTTCTGGCACCTCACCCTGCGCCTATCGATGATACAAATATCTCAGCATGAGGCCCAGCAATCTCTTCCCTCGCTTCTCACAAAGTTCTAGGGTACACCTGATCAGGTCCTGGGGATTTATCCACCGTTAAGGCATTCTGCACCTCCTCCTCTGTAATAAGGACATTTTTCAAGATGTCGCTATTTATTTCCCCACGTTCTCTATCTTCCATATCCTTCTCCACAGTAAACACTGATGCAAAATACTTGTTTAGTATTTCCCCCATCTCCTGCAGTTTCACCCATGGGTGGCCTTGCTGAACTTTCAGGTGTCTTTTTCTCTCCTTAGTTACCCTTTTCTCCTTAATGTATTTGCAGAATCCCTTTGGATTCTCCTTAACTCTATTTGCCAAAGCTATTCCATGTCCCCTTTTTGCCCCCCTGATTTCCCTCTTAACTATACTCCTACTGCTCTTATACTCCTCTAGGGATTCACTCGATTCCTGCTGTCTATACCTGAGATATGCTCCCTTCTTTTCTTGACCAAAACCTCAATTTCTCTAGTCATCTACCATTCCCTACACCTACCAGCCTTACCCTTCACCCTAACAGGAACATACTGTTTCTGGATTCTTGTTATCTCATTTTTGAATGCTTCCCATTTCCCAGCTGTCCCTTTACCTGCAAACATCTGCCCCCAATCAACTTTTGAACGTTCTTGCCTAATACCATCAAAATTGGCCTTCCTCCAATATAGAACTTTAACTTTTAGATCCGGTCTATCCTTTTCCATCACTATTTTAAAACTAATAGAATAATGGTCACTGGCCCCAAAGTGCTCCCCCACTGACACCTCAGTCACCTGCTCTGCCTTATTTCCCAAGAGTAGGTGAAGTTTTGCACCTTCTGTAGTAGATCCATCCACATACTGAATCAGAAAATTTTCTTGTGCATACTTAACAAATTCCTCTCCATCCAAGCCCTTAACACTATGGCAGTCCCAGTCTATGTTTGGAAAGTTAATATCCTCCACCATAACCACCCTATGGTTCTCACAGTTAACTGAGATCTCTTTTCAAATATGTTTATCAATTTCTCGATGACTATTGGGGGGTCTACAGTACAATTCCAATAAGGTGATCATCCCTTTTTCATTTTTCAGTTCCACCCAAATAACTTCCCTGGATGTATTCAGTACAGCAGTAATGTTATTGTTAATCAAAAACGCCACTGCCTCTCCTCTCCTGCTCCCCCTTTTATCCTTCCTCTCGCATCTATACCCTGGAACATTAAGCTGCTAGTCCTGTCCATTCTTGAGCCACATCTCTGTAATTGCTATGATATCCCAATCCCAAGTTCCCAACCATGCCCTGAGTTCATCTGCCTTACCTGTAACCCTCATGTACTGAAATAAATGCAGTTTAATTTATCAGTCGACCTTGTTCTCTGGTTTGTTCCTGCCTGCCCTGACTGTTTGACTTACTCCTTTTTCCAAATGTACCAATCTCAGACTGATCTCTTTCCTCACTATCACCCTGGGGTCCCACAGCCCCTACTAGTTTAACTCCTCCCATTCAGATCTAGCAAATCTCCCCACCAGTATATTAAGCCCCTTCCAATTCAGGCGCAATCTATCCTCCTTAAACAGGTCACTTCTACCCCAGAAGAGATTCCAATGATCCAAAAATGTGAATCCTTCTCCCCTGCACCAGCTCCTCAGCCATGCATTCATCTGCTCTACCCTCCTATTCCTACCCCCATTAGCTTGTGGCGCTGGTAGTAATCCAGAAATTACTGCCCTTGAGAACCTCCTTTTTAAATTCCTGCCTAACTTCCTATATTCTCTCCTCAGAATCCCGTCCTTATTTCTTCCAATGTGTACAACAACCTCCTGCTGGTCCCTCTCCCCTTTGAGAATATTCTGCACCCTCTCCGAGATATCCTTGATCCTGGCACCAGGGAGGCAACACACTATTCTGATGTCTTGCTGTCGGTCACAGGAATATCTGTCTGTGCCTCTGAGTAGAGAGTCTCCTATCACAATCGACCGCTTGGAACCTGACATACCCCTCGTTACATTGGAGCCAGTCTCGGTACCAGAAACCTGGCTGTCAGTGCTAAATTCCCCTAAGAGTCCATCACTCTCTACACTTTCCAAAACAGCACACTTGTTTGAGATGGGATAGCCACAGGAGGTTCCTACACTACCTGCCTCCTTCTCCTACCTTTCCTGGCAGTAACCCATTCACTAGCTTTCCTGCTCCTCTGATGCTGCCTGGCCTGCTGTGTTCATCCAGCTCCACACCTTATTATCACCTGACTGTATCTGTTGTTAGCCTCTCTGCTCCTATGATGCTGCTTGGCCTGCTGTGTTCATCCAGCCCTGCACCTTGTTGTCTCGGATTCTCCAGCATCTGCAGTTCCTACTATCTCTGTATCTGTTGTTTTTCTCCTTTCCTACTGCTGCCATCCATCACCCCCCACTCCTTCTCCCATCCACGGCTCCTGTAAGTTGCTCAGTGTCTGGAAATGCCATTCCAACTGATCCATGCGGTCCGATAGGATTCACAACCAAACACACTTCCGGCAGACATAATCATCAGTAACATGGAAACTCTCCTTAATCTCCCGCATCCAACAGGAAGAGCACATCACTCTACTAAAGGCCACCTTTGCACCTTAACAATCTACAGTCCCAGAAAATAGCACAGTCTTACTGCTCTAAAAAAACACTACCCCAGGCTAACTTAGCATCTATGTTTTATATTTTTAAAGTTTAATCAAAAGACAGATCTCAATAAAAACATATAATTAAAAAAAACACATTCTACTCACAACTGTAGATTTACAAAAACAAAACTAGCCGCTTAGCTGCTCCCCTGCTGTGAATCTTCCCACACAGATTTCTCCAAGGTCAGCTGTGAATTTCGCTGTTTATTTTTCTTGGTCGGTGTGAACTCAATGGGCCAAAGGGCCCGTTCCATGCTGTAGGGATTCTATGACTCTATTCTATCAAATAAGGTGAACGCACGCCAAGCATCATTTAATGGTTACAAAGAAATCTGGTCTGACCTTGTATTAAGACCTGATCAACCCACGTTAGAACATGCTCCAAAGCATTCCAAATACCGCAAGGGGTAGGGGGGCCTAAGAATTGTGCCCGGGTAATTGGTTACACCGTTTGCATGCAAAAAGCAGCCAGCAGTACTTGACAAGCAGCTTAACCTGTGGTGTCCATCCTCCCAGGATGTAGATCTGGTTCTGAACTGTGACTGCAGCGTGACATGCCAGGGCTAAAGGCAGTGGAGCCATACTCCTCCATTGGCCTGTCTCCAGGATGCACTTGTCCACACTGTTTGTGATCATGTATCGGCCCTTGAACTTCATCTGGCCTCCGATGAGGTACAAGTTACTGTGGGCGGTTCCCATTGCGTAGAGCTCTCGGAACGGAGCTGAGCTTAGGTTCTCCCAGTGCTGATTCCCTCGAACGTGGTACCTAGGGGTTGACAGGATGACTGGGGAGGGTTACTAACCTGTCAGTTCTACCATGGTGCACTCTGAGACTAGATTACCGTGTGGGTGAGCTCATAGAATCGTACAGTACAGAAAAGGCCCTTCGGCCCATCGAGACTGTACTGCCAAAAATAGCACACTTTGGTAGGAGGATTAAGAATGACTTAGAGCAGACTGGGGTATGGGTGAATGGTTATACAAACATTGGGACGGCATGGGGGCTCAGTGGTTAGCAACGCTGCCTCACAGCACCAGGGGCCCAGGTTCAATTCCAGCCTCAGATCACTGTCTACGTGGAGTTTGCACTTTCTCCCCATATCTGAGTGGGTTTCATCCCACAGCTGACAGGTGTGCAGGCTAGGTGGATTGGCCATGGGAAATGCAGAATTACAGGGAAAGGGTAGGGGAGTGTGTCTGGGTGGGATGCTCTTCGGAGAGTCAGTGTGGACTTGATGGGCCAAATGGTCTGCTTCCAGATAGAGATTCTATGATTCTAAACATTACAAGTTTACTAGGCACAAAACACCAGACTTCATTGTTAAATTCATTCACTGGACATGGGTCTTGCTGGCTAGGTCAGCGTTTATTGCCCAGCCCTATATGCCCAGAGGTCTGGAGTCACATGTAAGCCAGACCAGGTAAGGAGAACAGTTTCCTTCCTGAAGGACATTAGTAAACCAGATGCTTTTCCCCAACAACTGACTATGATTTTATGGCTGAGGGAGCTCGGGCTTTTTTCATTAGAGCGAAGAAGAATGAGCAGGGACTTGATAGAGGTGTTCAAGATGATGAGAGGCATAGATAGAGTGGATAGTCAGAGACTTTTTCCCAGGGCGGAAATGACTATTACGATGGGGCATAATTTTAAGGTGACTGGAGGAAGGTATAGGGGAGATATCAGAGGTAGATTCTTCACACAGAGAGTGGTGGGTTTGTGGAATGCGCTGCCGGCAGTGGTAGTGGAGTCAGATACTTTAGAGACTTTTAAGTGACTCTTGGATCGGCACATGGAGGATAGTAAAATGTAGGGTATGCAGGGTAGTTTGATCTTAGTAGGATAATAGGTCGGCACAACATCATGGGCGGAAGGGCCTGTACTGTGCTGTACTGTTCTATGTTCTACGTCCTTAATTCCATTTGTTTTGTTATTAAATTCAAATTCTACCACCTGCCAAAGCAGGGTTCAAATTCAGCTCCTCAGAACATGATCTGGGTCTCTGGATTAACATTATAATGAGAGTACCAGTAGACCATGACTTCCCTTGCGTTCCTGGAGGAACAGAATTCACAACTAAGAATTATGTTAAACCTTGACAGAATCTTGCTTGGGAACATAGAAAACAGGAGTAGACCTTCGGCCCATTGAGCCCAATCCATTGTTCATTCTGATCATGGCTGATCTCTATCTCAACGTCGTGTTCCCAATCTCTCCCCGTCCCTCTTGATACCTTCGGAGTCCAGAAATCGATCTCTTTCTTCAATATATTGTGACTTGGCCTCCACAGCCTTCTGTGGTAAAGAATTCCACAGGTTCACCACCTTCCAAGTGAGGAAGTTTCTCCTCATCTCAGTCCTAAATGGCCTACCCCATCCCCCTAAAACCATGACATTATGTTCTAGACCTCTGAAATATGGGAAACATCATCCCTGCATCCCAGTCAGAATGTTATATATTTCAATGAGATCACCTCTCTTTCTGAACTCCACTAATTACAGGTGTGGTCAACCCCTACTCAATTTGAGTAAAAGCCTGAACCACTAAAAAGCACAAAGGTGGCTTGCATTTGATAAGGTAAGGCTTGATGTCATCTACTGCTAGACCATATTAGACACAATTCTGGTCTTCATAATTAATTTTAAAAATCTCAGACGCACAGGAGAGAAAAGCTAATACGATTTACAAGTGCAACATGAGATTTGAATACGTGGAAGGTCCAAAGATCATGAAGCAAGGATCCTTTATTCCACTGGCAGCAGGTCATTATAATTATGAAGGAAAGTTAAGTTTAAACAAAAAAGTATTTACATGGATTAGAGATTGAGGAATCCTTTGCCTTTTTGCTCCTTCTTCCCATGTGGCCTCCTACCCCAAAGAAAGCCTTTTGTTGACAGTTCCAGCTGTCCTCCCTCACTGTTGCCATCTACTGAAGGCTCTGTTGTGCTAAGATGATCTCAGATTGGAGAAGCTACAGGAAACTTGAGAAGCCTTTCAGGCTGGGGTTCTTTTCAAGAAAAGAGCTTTGCAAAATCCTGACAAGGTTTGACATCTGGCTGTAATTTTATTGGATTGAACCAGTGCCAGCTGACAGTGAGATCATGACAGTGATAAGTTGAGAAGGGTCCCGACCCGGAACATCAGCTTTCCTGCTCCTCTGATGCTGCCTGGCCTGCTGTGCTCCTCCAGCTCCACACTGTGTTGTCTCTGATTCCAGCATCGGCAGTTCTTACTATCTCTGAGTGAGATCATGACAACTGTTTTACTGATGGTGGCCGTTTGAAAGGTGCTGCTGGTTCAGGAAGGGAGCGTGTTGTGTCAAGGTTCCAAAGGGAGTTCAAAACTGAACTTGCAGGGGGTGTCGTTCCCATGTATCTCCTACCCTTGTCTTTCTAGATGAAAACGGTCGAGGATTTAGAAGATGCTGTCTAAGAATCTTTGGTGAATTTCTGCAGTGCATCCTGTAGTTAGTATGCACTGCTATTCCTGAGTGTCGGTGGTGGAGGGAGTGGATGTTTGTGAATGAGGTGCCAATCAAGTGGGCTGTATTGTCTTGGATGGTGTCGAGCTTCTTGAGTGTTGTTGGGGCTGCACTCATCCAGGCAAGTGGGGAGTATTCCATCACACTCCTGACTTGTGATTTGTAGATGGTGGACGGACTTTGGGGAGTCAGGAGGTGAGTTACTTGCTGCAGTATTCCCAGCTTCTGACTTGCTCTTGTAGCCACAGTGTTTATAAGGTAAATCCAATTCTGTTTTTGATCTATGGGGGTAAACCCAGGATGTTGATAATGGGGGATTCAGTGATAGTGACACCATTGAATGTGGAGGGGCAAAGGTTAGATTCTCTCTCACTGGTGATAGTCATTGTCTGACATTTGTGTGGCATGAATGTAACTGGTCACTTGTCAGCCCAAGCCTGAATATTGTCCAGATCTTGTTACATTTGAACATGGAGTATCTGAGGAGTTGCAAATGATGCTGAACATTGTGCAATCATCAGTGAACGTCCCCACCTCTGACCTTATGATGCAGGGAAGGTCATTGATGGTTGAAGATGGTTGGGCCTAAGACTCTAGCCTTTAGAGGGAGTAGTTGCTTTTGGACCAGATCTCTATGGTCCTCGTATTCCTGCCTGACGGAATGTCATTGTATTAGCTACTGTCCTGGAATAAACCTTCTTGTTAGCTAAGAACAGAGCCAATCCTGTAGAGACACTATGGTGCTGAATGCTCTACCACTAATCATTAGATAGTAAAGTCACCAGGGGTCTGCTCTCCATCTTTAGAGAGGAACAACTGGTGATGGTTTAACCTGAGGGTCACCACACCTCAGGTGAGGGAAACTCGTTGAAAAGGTGGGACTTTCAGCCAATACAGGAATTGGTAACGTCATGGTAACCTCAGCCAATAAGTTGTGGTACCACTCTACATTGCAATCCAGTCCCCTAACCATGCCAAACAACACCATGACAATCGTTACACAGATCCAATACAAAGCAAAGATGAAGGAGGAGAAGTGGCATTGAACAACCTTGGACCGCACGCACGCACACACACACACACAAAATAAGGCGCCTGGTGTGGTCGTCTGGGAACATACCACAAGTCCTGATGCTGAGAGAAGAGAACGAGAAGCACAACAAAAGGGAAAGGGGCTAGAAGCAGTCCAAAGATTAGATGGAAGACATCCTGACAGCCTTAGGCATCTTGTGTGGACATCAAAAAGCATAGTAATGTACACAGCAAAAGATCATTAGAGGATATTTAGCCCTGTATGAGATGTCATATGTCTTGAAAGGGAAAGAATCATATTCCATGAGTCAGAAGGAAATTTTTTGCATGTTGTTAAGTAAATATTTATCTGTTGCAAAAAGGATTTAATTGTAAGATGTAGCATAGCATTACTTGTGTCAGTTATAGCTCAGTTGGCAGCCCACTTGCCTCTAAATCAGATGAGTGTGGGTTCCAGTCTCAATCCAGGATTTAAGCACAAAAATCCAGGCTGATACCTCTCGAGCCAGTATTGAGGGAGGGCTGAGGAGCTGCTGGCTCTTGGTTGAGACATCAAACCTTAACCCTGACTGCTCTCCCAAGTGTAGGCAAAAGATCCCACATGATGTTATTCTGAAGAAGAGTTGTTTCTGATATTTATCCTTCAATTAACAGATTATCTCGTCATTAACACATTGCTGGGAACTTGCCGTGCCCAAATTGGCTGCAAAACGCTGCATTTCTACAATACAACGGGGTGACTACATTTCAAAAAGAGGCTGAATGGTTAACAATCCCATTTCTGATCCCCCTCAGGGGACTAAGGACCTTCCCCAGAGGGCTCAAGCATGTCATCATATGACCCTCCCAGTGCAGTACTGAGGGAATGCTGCACTGCTGGAGGAACTATCTTTCAATGAGATGTTAAGCCAAGAGTCGCTTTGTTGTCTGAGATTAACACAAAAGTTCCCATGAAAGCATTTACAAGACAAGCCAGGAAACTTTCCTGGCCAATACTTGCCCCTCACATATCAAATGATGTTCTTATTATTCCACTTCTTTTGAGGGAAATTGTTCATAGAATATGGGTGTGACTGGTCACGTCACTATTTTTACCCATCGCTAATCGTAAGGAATGAAAGAGGAATGAAGAAGTTGGGACTGTTCTCCTTGGAAAGTTTAGGAACAGATTCAATCACAGTTTTCAAAACCATGAGGTGTCTAGATAGAATGGACAGCGAGAGATTGTTCCTACTCTTGGAGGAATCAAGACTCAGAGGGCACAGGTTTAAAGTAATTTGTGATGTGGAGATGCCAGTGTTGGACTGGGATGGACCCAAAGTCAGAAATCACTCGACACCAGGTTATAGTCCAACAGGTTTACCTGAAATCACAAGCTTTCAGAGCGCTGCTCCTTATTGGGAATAGAACCAATGACAATATGAGGAAAATGTTTTTGTGTAGCGAGTGATTAGGGTTTGGAATGTCTTGTTGCAAGCAAGGTCAGTTGAGGCTTTTGAAATGGATTGGATCATTTTCTGAACAGGAAGAATTTGCAGGGCTACAGGGATAAAGGAGGGGAGTGGCCCTTGGTGAATTGCTGTTTTGGAGAACCAGCATCGGCTCAATGGTCCAAATGGTATCTCCAGGGCTGGAACCAATTGATGATTCACTTTGATGAATTGATGATTCTCAATCAAATAGTTAACTAGAATTCATGTAGCACAGAAACAATTGGCTTCATGACAGTATTTCTGTACCACAACCTCCTCACAGCCAATCACATCAAACCACATCAACACATCCGTCGATTCCTTTCTCCCTAAAATTCTTATCTCAGCTTCTCCTTAATAAATACATCTACACTATTCACTCAACCACTATGTGGTTGCGAGTTTCACATTCAAAACACACTCAGGGTAAAGTTTCTTGTGAATTCCTTCTTGGATATATTCGAGGCTTTTGCTCTGAAAGGACTGTTGTTGGAGGATCTCGTAGATACCAGCCAATTTGACACATCACACAGACTTCGGTCGAAAATTGAGGATTCTCCACTGGGTCCTTTTAGTTTTAGTAATTATCTCAAAGTGTGTAACTTTATTTCCTCTTTATTCATTCATTAGGGCATTGTGTACAGTTTTGGTCTCCTAATCTCAGGAAAAGTTTTATTGCCATAGAGAGAATGCAATGAAGGCTCACCCAAACTTGTTCCTGGAATAGTGGGACTTTCCGATGAAAAGAGATTGGACAAACTGGGCCTGCATTCTCTCCAGCTTCAAAGAATGAGAGGTGATGGTGTTGAAACTGACAAAATAATTCAAAGGGATAGACAGGGGAGAAGCAGGTAAGATGGATCTCTTAGTTGGGGAGCCCAGAACCATGGGAGTATAACTTAATAATAAGGAGGATGCCATTTAGGAATGAGATGAGAACTGTTTTTCCTTAGAGGGCTGTGAATCTTTGGAGTTCTGTAATTCTGAGGACTGCAGAAACTCAGACTTTGAGCACATATAAAGTAAAGATTGATGGATTTCTGAATATCAATGGCATGAAGGGTTATGGATATAATGCGGGGACCGGCACCGAATTGTTCAATCAACCATGATCATATTAAGATTTGATGGGCTGAATGGCCTACTTTTATTACTATTTTCGCATGATCAATAAGTGAAATCCAACCAAAGTAGGTGAACTCATAATAGATAAAGGAACCGAACCTGGCATCATCTTGGACCACATGGCTGCGTGTTTCCTGTATCTTGGAAAGAAAGTACCACTCTAGCAGCTTCCAAAAACAGAAGTGCCATAATACTCCCAAATATTATTCAGTTAAAAAGTTATTCCATTTCCATAAAGGAATCCTTTTTAAAAGACATTTTAAACACAATAGCAACATTCAAGAAGCACCTGGACAAATACACGAATAGGAAGGGAATAGAGGGATATGGATCCTGTAAGTGAAGACAGTTTCAGTATGGAAGGGCAAAATGCATTGGCACAGGGTTGGAGGGCCAAAGGGCTTGTTCCTGTGCTGTATTGTTCTTTGTTCTTAATGAACCAAGATTATATTCAGCATTCATAAAACCTCCTTGTTTTTCAATTCTAGGCTTCCGTGAACCACAGTGGCCTTTCGGGGTTAATTCCAGAAGACTTGTTAAGCTTGTTGCTGCTTTCAAAAGACTTGCAAATCTGAAAAGCTAGATTTTGGTGTTCTCATGCTGAAGTGGGTAGTGTCCCTGCCTCCAAGCAAGAATCTCCGCCTTCAAGTCTCACTCCAACACTTGGCCAAGGGAGGTGTATTCACGATGCAATCAAATTGGTTGATTATCAACCTGCAAAACCCTTGTGACACTCCAATGGCAGGCTAAGAGTGGGAAAGATCCCTGGACAACCAGGTGATGAGAAGATATTGGAGCCTTGACCATCACTAACCATAACTCTACGCTACAATGTGCAGGTCAAAATGCATGTTACCACAATAATCTATACTCAGTGAACTGTATCACACAGAACTCTATTGCCCTTGACCTCTGGTTATATAAATCTATTCCATAAAATTCATCATAATTCAGGACCTTTTGATACTGCCATAGATAAATCGCAGAAAGATGCATACAGGAAATGCCTGGAGATGTGTTGGAGGCAGGTTAAACTGAGGCATTCAAAAGGGACATTGGATGGTTATTTGGATAGTAATGATGTGCAGGGAGATGGAGAAAAGGCACTGGGTAATAGACTAGAGCAATGGGCTGAATGGCCTTTTTCAGCGCTGTAACATTTCTGTGATTGTAAAGAGATCTCAGATTGACACAGAGGTGAACAGTCTTGTCAGGTTGGCATTGAGTTAAGGAATAATAGGTGAATCTTTGTCCATCTTCTAACTTGTGAGGTTCTTTAAGCCAGAGTCAGCTTCTTGCTGACTTTGTGGTGTCTACCCACCGTGTCCCTCGCCCAGGAGAAAAGGTGCCCCGAAAGTACCTACCTCACTATCTCCACATTCTTTGCCTTTTGCCTCGATAGTTTATTCACTCCTGCTTCACCAGCCAAAATAATATCATTATTTTCAGTCACAATTCCAGTGCAGACATATCCCAAAGCTTCACCGCAACTCGGTGACACAATATAGTAACATTTCTTTGTAGTGGGTGCATAACAAAAGCTGGCTTCAGTATAACTCTTGTGCCTTGACTTTATTCCTTGGCCGTTGTTACCAATGCAGAGAAGGAGTTCGGTATTCTCCATCCCATAACGTAGACTGAGAGATGGATGTTGCTGGGCCTTATGGATGGTCTCTATAGCAACCTGAATCATGTTGTAGCATTCCCCGTCACTAAGGAGGATGGTGTTCCTTTTAAGAGTCTCCCTCAGGAAGGTAGGACTGATGAGCTCCAGTCTTACCTGCTTCATGAGTTCCACAAGGTGGACTGCCCGGGAGTTACGGTCGTGGTTCACCCAACGAACAACGAGATCCAAAATGCTCTCCTCACGTGAGATGTTGAGATCATCAGAGCAGATCAAAGGTAGCAACTGATGTCCTTCTATCTCCAGCACCTCGTCCTGCAAACAGACCTCTGCAAAGTGCCGGTGAAGGTACTTACTCGCTGGATCAGCTAGGTCTTCTGCTCCTAGCTGCTTGGCAAAGTAATAAATCCCGAGACAGTTTGACACATCCATGTGATCCATCATGTACTTCTGGCAAGCCATGAAGACACCTTCCATTTGGAGGAAGTAAGCCATGGTGGCCACTCCCTGGACATTGGAGTTGGTGAGATGCAGTTCTGAGTTGTACATGTAGTTCAGGATTGTAGCCACACCCTCTGACTGTGCGTCATGTAACACCACCTCCCTCTGACTGCATTCCGCCAGGCCGCAGGTGAACATTGCACGGAAATAGGGGCTGAATGCAGCCAATAGCAGCCGATGGCAAGGGAATTGACATCCTTCAGCCAAGAGCACGACATCAGTCAACTCATCTGCATCCTTCATTTTGTTAATCTGGCAAAGCAAATTCAAGCTGTGCTTGACCCGAGCACTGTCCTCACGATCCATGACTGTCTTCAGCTACCATCCACTGAAAAGAAAATATCAAAAGGTTTGGTTTTCGTCAAAGTTCCCATCACCGTCACTTGACCAGAATGAGTTTGTCCCCTGCGGTCGCTCAAGTTCCACAGCCCATCATAACAGTTAGCCATTGTCTCTCAGTTGTTAGGCAAAACGAATCAACCGGAATTTCCCATCACCATTCGCACAGTTTAATCTCATCGCAGAAACAGAGAGTATGCAGAGTTGTCTTTGTCTGATTAGCACAATGGGGACAAACGGAGTTTTGTTGGGGCCTCCACTTTTTGCAGTTTACACCAATGACCTGGATGCAGGGAGCTAAGGCATTGTGGCTACACTTGCAAATAGTACCAAGATAGGCAGGAAATTACGTTATAAAGAACTCGTAAGGAAATTGCAGATGATTATTACAGATGAACAGATGAGCAAAAATCTGGCGGTTGGAATATATGGCGGTGGGAAACTATGAAGTCACTCACTTTAGCAGGAGGAATGAAAAAGAAGGGTTGAAATTAAACAGAGGATGACTGTGGAGCTCCAAGATGCAGAGGGATTTAGTGTTTCAGTTCATGAGTCACTAATGTTGTGAGGTTGGGTACAGTACTTGTGGATTGGAAGGCAGGACATTAGAGTTTGTTTGTAAAATATGGGGTGGGAGGCGGGAAGAGTGTGTGGTCCCTTTAAAAGATGATGTGTTTTTCTAGGCCTGGAGATTTACAAAAAAATGTCTGTGAGCAGCACCAGGCACAGGGGGTCCCTGAAATTGAAACATTTATATCAAAAGGCTGTATGGTTAGTAATCCAGGCAACAGTCTTGTTTTATTAATAAGGCAACCAGTTTGAATATCAGCCAATTAATTTAAACTAGGCATTTACAGACTAGAAACCAATTAAATTTAAATCTGATGGTTTTGACAACCTAGGACCAATCCTATTGTAAGAAATTGATGGGTCATCAAGGGCATAAAAGAAGAGTGTGTTTGAAAATCGGTGTGAGAGGAACCGCCATCGTTTAGCGCTAACAACCAGCAAATCTAAAGAGAAAATCACTGGCTCTCATGGAATTCTCTAAGCTCTCAGAGGAACCATCATCTGATTAAAGGTATAGTGGCATTCTTAGCTAATATTCCTGACAGAAGAATTTGATGGAGAAAGGCGGTCCTGACTGAAGAACAGCGGAGAAGGCACAGAACATTCCAGAAGACTTATCCTGGCTGTAATTTTGAGAGACTAAGTTTTAAGTTTTTGTTTGTCAATTTGGTTTATATAAGTGGGAGTTATATTTATTGGAACAGCATACCATTAGAACTTTGTTTTATTTGGGAATAGTTAATATTTGAGAGGGAATTGTTCATAAAGTCCTTGTCCTGACAGTGTTTGATGGAGGCAGTGTAGAGAGAGCTTTATTCTATATCAAGCCCTGTACTGTCCCTGCCCTGAGAGTGTTTGATAGGGACAGTGTAAAACATAGAAACAAAGAAACATAGAAAATAGGTGCAGAAATAGGCCATTCAGCCCTTCAGGCCTGCACCACCATTCAGTAAGATCATGGCCGATCATGCAATCTCAGTATTTGACTCCCGTTTTCTCTCCATACCCCTTGATCCCTTTAGCTGCAAGGGCCACGTCCAGCTCCCCCTTGAAAATATCTAATGAACTGGCCCCAACAGCTTCCTGTGGGAGAGAATTCCACCGGTTCACAACTCTCTGAGTGAAGGAATTCTTCTTCATCTCAGACCTGAATGGCTTACCCCTTATTCTTAGACTGTGACCCCTAGTTCTAGACTTCCCCAACATTGCGAACATTCTTCCCGAATCTAGCCTGTCTAGTCCCATCAGGATTTTATATGTTTCTATGAGATTCCCCCCTCATTATTCTAAATTCCATCGAATACAAGCCCAGTCGATCCAGTCTTTCCTCATGTGTCAGTCCTGCCAGCCTGGGAATCAGTCTGGTGAACCTTCACTGGACTCTCTCATTAGCAAGGATGTCCTTCTTCAGACTAGGAGACCAAAACTGTACACAATACTCAAGGATAGTAGGAACTGCAGATGCTGGAGAATCTGAGATAACAAGGTGTAGAGCTGGATGAACACAGCAGGCCAAGCAG